AAACAGGCTCCTAGAGCCTGGTTTGAACGTCTGTCATCATTTCTCATTGAAAAATCATTTACTCAAGGTAGTATAGACAAGACTCTATTCATCAAACATGTGTCAAGTCACATTCTAATTGTCCAAGTCTATGTAGATGACATAGTTTTTGGCTCTAGTGATCCTAAGCTATGCACTGAGTTCTGTGAAACCATGCAATCTGTGTTTGAAATGAGCATGATGGGGGAGTTAAAATTTTTTCTTGGATTACAAGTCAAGCAAAGTTCTTCTGGTATTTTTATTAACCAATCAAAATATCTTCAGAAAATGCTTCAAAAATTCAACATGAACTCAATTAACTCCAGTCCAACTCCCATGGCCACCAATCTTAAACTTGACAAGGATCCCTCTGGAATATCAGTAGATGAAAAGAAATATCGAGGCATGATAGGATCCTTGCTGTACTTGACAGCTAGTAGACCAGACATCCAACACAGTGTGTGCCTTTGCGCAAGGTTTCAGTCAGCACCCAAGGAAAGCCATCTTAGTGCTGTAAAACGCATATTTAGATACTTAAAAGGAACTCATGAGGTAGGATTGTGGTATCCTCATCATGATAGCTTCAATTTACTAGGCTATAGTGATTCTGATTTTGCTGGAAGCTTATCTGATAGAAAAAGTACCACAGGGACTTGTCAATTTGTAGGCACTTCTCTAGTTTCCTGGTCATGTAAGAAGCAGGGAGCAGTGGCCCTCTCCACTGCAGAAGCAGAGTACATTGCAGCAGGAAGCTGCTGTACTCAGCTAATTTGGCTTAAGAATCAACTATTATACTACAAAATTAATACCTCAACCATTCCCCTATTCTGTGATAACACTAGTGCTATATGTATGTCCAAAAACCCTGTCCAACACTCCACAACTAAGCATATAGAAGTTAAGTTTCACTTCATTAGGGAATTAGTCGAGCAACAATTAATTCAATTAAATCACATCCCTATAGAGTTCCAACTGGCAGATTTATTTACTAAACCATTAAATGCAGAACGATTCACTTTCCTTTGCTATGAACTCGGGCTTCGATCTCCAAAGAATCTGGAGAATCTTCTCTGATTGCATGCTCTTTTCTTTACTTTTTTGTTTTCTTTTTCCTGTTGTGTCTCTTCCTTTTTAGTATGTTTCCTTTCTTCTTGTGTTTGGTAAACTATTTATAGGGTTGCTTGATAGTCCGCAGTCATTCATCCATTGCCTTTGAGTCTTAGTCGTCCAGTCTAGAGTTCCAAATGGTGCTTGAATTCTCCATCACCTACACAGGTATTCTTTTTCATGATCCTATTCCTGCAAATGCTCATAGGCATGCAGTCTCCTATGCCCGTCGCCCAATTATTCCCACCTATCAAATTCCTTTTGCTGGTCTAGAAGAGTATGGTATAGGGTTCACTCAACTCATTCACAATTTAGGTTGGGATTTTCTGATTGATGAAACCCTAGAGCATATCTGCCCTGAAGCTGTTCGCCTCTTTTACTCAAACTTTCGTTCCTTTGGCTTAGATACTCGTACCTTCACAACATTGATTTATGGCCATCTGGTTACCATTCCTATCGAGGATCTTAGGCGTCTGCTTGCTATTCCCCAGGTTGGTGAAATTCTAGCTCATGAGTCTAAGCTTGTGCTTTTCAACTTCAATATCGAGCATGAGTTTGTGCATCTGACTGGTCATACTCCTGATGCTCTGCTCACACTTCCTACCACCTTCCTGCTTCTTGGAATTCGAACATTTCATTTTTTTCTCACTCATCGCTTTCTCCCTAGGACTGTTCTTCTAGATCGAGTCACTCCCTTGGATCTCTGGGTCATTCAACATGCTGTGAACAATGTACCTCTTGATTACTCTCATGTGCTCTTTGGGCACCTGTACATGTTCCAGTACTTCGAATACCTTGGTCATCTTCCCTTTGGCCCTCTACTTACTCGCCTTATCACTCGTCTAGAAATCTCTCTTGACCCTTTCCGCTCCACCACCCCCACCGTTTTCATCACCGCTGATGATGTCCTCGACGAGATTGCCATTGCCGTTGAGGGGGAGGATGACTCTGTCTCTGAATCTGACTCAGATAATTCTGAATCAGACTCAGAAGAACCAGTGGAGGAACCTGCAGAAGAAGAAGAACCAAATCAGGATATAGAAGTTCAGTGGGTTAGTAGCAGCAGCAGTGGCAGTGACAGTGACAGCAGCATCAGTGATCATTCTGACTCAGAGTTGCCCTCTTTAACTGATGTGCTGGCTGATCTTCAGAAGACCTATGGATCCGATTAGTTTTCCTTTGACTTGGTGTGTTTTGACTATTGGTTTGCTGGATGTGTCTTTTTACCAGCTGGATGGTTGACCCTTCTGTTTTCTCTGCTGAAGTCTTTAAACTGTCTGGTTTAGGGTTATTGAATGCTTGGATCTAAACTATAGTTCTGGATTGCTTGTTCTTTTTATCCTTGCTTAAGAATGCTTGAACTGTTTAGTTTGCATAGTTGCTACTTGGAAAAGTGGGTTGAGTTTTTCAGGGTTCAAGGTCTCAAGCGGACAATTGGCAATCTCCAACTTAGGGGGAGATTGTTGAGATAATAAGGATCAAGTTGGAAGATTACCAAAATTTACCAAATCAGCAATCAAGGGGGAGCGGATCAATAAACCATGATTCAAGGAACAGCTGGTCAACTTACCCTTTCTGATCACTTTCAAACAGCAACGGCTACTACAACTTCTATTTAAAGGAGCAGCAGAAGGAAGGCTCGGCACTGAAAAACAACAAGGCATTCCTCAGTGGTAAAGGGCTAGGGTATGGGTTGGATATCAGTGGCTTTGAATCAAGCTGAGGAATAGGTTCAGCTTGATCAAAGGGTGTAAAGAATTCCTGCGCGAATTCTGGGTCTGGTGGCATTTTGATTTTCTCACCTGAGTCTGTATTGTTTTCGATTTGTTCTTTTCTTGAGTCATAAAACGAAAATCAAAGTGTCTCTCAGGATAGTGGTACTATCCTGGGACGAGGAGTAGCCCTGTGGCGAACCTCGTTAAAAATTCCCTGCGCACTTTACTTTCTGCTCTGTTCTCTTCATTCTCGTCTCAACTCTCTGTTTTTCCATTCCTCTGGTTCGACTGCTCTCTGGCCAGGTGAAGAAGACGATCTCTCTGTCTCTTCCCTCCCGAGTCTGGGTCTGGGCTGAATCCTGAATAAGTACTGGATCAACTTAATTGATTCTTGGGCTTATCATGGTTAAGCCCACTTAGTCGAAACCCAGTCCACCGAATAAAACGAGTTAGGAGGTCGAACCAATTGGTTACAACCGGTTTGACCTGGCTGTTTGACTACCAAATCAAAATCCCTAACTCATCTGTTCATTTCCTTCCTTCGTCATTTCTTTCGTCTTCCTCACCTTCCAAATTCTCTGAAATTCTCTGATTACATAGATTTCTGTTTGAGGAATTGTTCCTCAACCTTCATTAGTTCACGAAGCTGGACACCTCTTCTCAGCTTGGAATATTGAGGAGGTAGGGCGCTCCAACACCTCCTTCTAAACTAACTCCAACTCCAATAGTGCTTGCCTCACTCTTTCATGGATTTCTGATTAGTGAACCCTATTGAGCTTTTTCAGTCTCAGTTTAATTTCACTGAGTTCGATAGACAACTGTTGCATTGCAGAGCCGCGAGCAGGGACCAACTGAGTTCGATATACAATTCTTCCAACAACTCGTGTTATGGGAACCAACTGATTCTTGACATATGGTATCAGATTCTTCTGTAACTAAGGTGTATTGTGTTTGAATCCCCACGATTTCCTTTGTTAAGCATTCGATATTCGAATCTGTGCAAACTTTAACCACTTTTAGTACTTATTAGGCTTATGCAAAGTTGAAACCCTTATGATTAACCCAAGAATGAACTATGCCATGAAATGAGCAATTTCATATTATCTGACAAGTTGGAGAACGTTGGATTGTAACTCTTGATTAAACCTTAAGGTTTAGCCAGGAGGTTGGACTTTGAAACTTCCACTCACTCTCCATCTATTACATGTGGCTACCCTTCCTGCTATCACATGTTCTTTCGGAAACGTGTACTTCGTTGTTCGTCCATCATCTCAGATGAACATTTGGCCTTTATTTATAAAAACGAAACGATTGACCTAATAGATAAAAATATTTTCAACACTTGTCACTGACTACTTAAAAAACTTTAGGACTTCTCGAAAAATGGAAGACAACAAAACGACTTCTAGAAAAGTTTTCAACACTTATTCAATATCAATAAATTGTTTTTTTAACCTAAACATATCAGTAGGGTGGGCAACGGGCGGGTTGGGTGGATTTTGGTCTCAAATTAACCCATCCGCTTACTAGCGGATTGGTATAATTATGATCCGTTGTCCACCCACATTCTTTTGCGGGTCGGGTTGGGTGGGTGACTGGTGGGTGCGGTTGGGTCGTGAGTTAACTCACAAAAGCAATTCTCCAACTATCGATTATGAAAGTTGACTACTATTTATAATAAGTTCATAGCAAATTAACAAGCCTGTATTACTTTAGACACTTCCCACTTTGTCTAATGTGAATCCATGTAATATTTGCATCTAAATCTCACTACTCTATCAACCAATTATGGATACTAACAATAATTTGCATCCCAATATCTAATAGATATTACACAACACAATAACCAATAATAGTTGTAGTAAAAATCTATTTTTTATTCTCCACCTTTAGAAGTATATGTCATTGTGTAATGCAATTCGAAAATATGACAAACATCCGATAGTATAAAAAACAAAATATTTTCATGTGAAAATAGGGTGCGGGTCATTCGGGTGACCCGCAATCCACCCACCACCCACCCACATAAATGCGGGTGGGAGATTGTCAATCCGCAATCCACCCACATCAATCACCCAATGCTTGCCGATTGGGTTATTTGCAGGTGGATTGATATCAATCTGCGGATTAACCATCCACATGCCCACCCCTACATATCAGAGTATCCTATCTAATATATTAGGTACACATAGGCATATGTTTCAAGGAATCAACACAAGCATCTTAAACATGCATTGAATTCCAAAACCCTTTTCATTTCATGTAATGGGCATGTTCCTCAGCCATATATTTACTGTTTACATATGGGTAGAAGAAGAAACAAAAAAAGAGTAACTAATCCTTCCCATTAATCCTCATTTCCAAAATCTACCTACACTAACTAGATAAATAGTTACCCAATTTGTGTATATTTATACTGGATTCCTATTTAACGCCCTTATATTCCCCATCCCATCCCATGTATCCAATCTATAGCTACATAAATACCTCTACTCTCACCTTAAAAGATCTTAATCAATTCGCTACATGCTGATAAAAAAAAATTTGGTTCCTCCGGTCGGCGGCCAAGATCAGTTGTGAGTAGGAGGCTTCTTACTCGCCGCCGCATAGTCCATTCCGGTGAGTTCGTCGGCGTCCGGCAAATGGGTTTCCTTGGACGGAACCTCCAAATTATCCAACTTGTTGTTATGCTCCTTCGCCTCTACCGCTACTACTTCATGCTTCTCATTGCTAACCACTTCTTTCAACCTCCTTCCTGCTATAACAAAAGCAAAAATCAAGTACATTCATTAGAAAAAACGTTGGGTTGTATATGAGATTATGAAAAGAAGTACGAAAGATTGAATCGTAGATCGATCATTACCTTGAGCACATGGAGAGATGAAGCAAAGCACGAAGAAGGCCACAAGAAGGAGATGCTTGGTGGAGTGGTTCTTTTGCATCTTCGACATCGATGATGAGTATTTGACTATAGACTAAGTTCTTCTTCTTCTTCTTCTTCTTCTTCTTCTTCTTCTTTGTTTGGATTTGCTTTGGTAGCTAGTTCTTATGGTTTTTGTTTGGAAAAAAAATGGAGCCACTAGCTTATATAGAGAAGGAGAATGTGGGAAATGTGTAATGGTTCTATACAAAAACTAGAGGCCAAGGCCAAACTTGTAGGGTTTTGTGAAACCGTCATTGTCGATGTCTCACTAGTGTCTTTGCATGAAAGTGCTAGCTAGCAAGCTAGCCCTAGACAGTTAGACAAGAAATGACATCTCCAATCTCCAAATGGGTTTCCTTTTTTTTTTTTTTTTTAAAAAAAAATATAATATCAACGAGATATGTGCACTCTATTTGCCTAGAAACAAATTTAGAGATCTGGAATTGGATTCAAAGGATGGTTTGGGTGATTGGGTTGTGAAGAGTAGATACATCGAGTTGGATGGGCAAAACGACAAAAAAAAAAGATTTAGTGTGTGACCAATTTCAGAATGTTTTTCCCCCAAAAGTTCATGTCCTATTAGGATTAAAAGTCGCACAATTCATAAAAAGTTTAACAAGATTTTGAAATCTACTAATTCATACCGTGTGTTTTTTCACCCTCATTTCTTAATAAGTATTCGATAAACTCATAAAAACACTTCAAAACAATTGAAGAGACATCTCTTAAGGGATGTTACAAAATCGGAGTCGGAAAGCCAACCACCATGCATCCACGTCCAAGTACTGAAATGGAATGTGGTTATTGTCATCTCAACACGATTACTTCATAACTTGCTCCGCCTCGTGGTTTATGTTGATATGACTTGAATCAAACTATCTGGCTATACGACTGGAAGTCATGAGGCCGGTCTTGTTAGTTTCTGAGCATGGTTTGTAGCCGTTTTCCTCTACCAGATTGGATTAGGATTAGATCAAATGAATAAGTACTATAAATAATTCACATACTCTTCTGTAATATGTATCTCCTCGAATTATAGTAAAACTCGCTCTCTCCTGTCTATGAACTAGCTAACACACATCGTGTTAATGAACCACAAAAATTGTCGTGTCTGCAATTGATTTGGTGGCTACTAATATTAATAATATCACTACGAATTAGTAACCAAGCATTTAAGTTATGGAGGGGGCAAAGCCGACATGGATTGAGGCCAGAAAATTGATCATTTTCAGATAAGCTGATGAAATATTATTATTTATTTATTTATTTATCAAATCAAGATGTTAATATATGGTTCCAAAAGAAAATCACGTGATAGGCAGTATGCATGCATGGGCCCTCTTTGATCTTGTCCTCAAATCAAAGCTAAATTAGCATTTAATAGCGACTAAATGTTTGCTAACTAATAATGCCATTAATGATTTTTTGTTTCCTAGTGAATGATTGATTAGCTAATTGGATTTATACTAGACAACTCCGACTCGATTTAAAACATAAAGATTTCACCTGCCACGAAATTTGAATTCATTTGACATGTTTAAGATCAAGATCGTCATTGTCTGAACCATAAAATTGAAGACACAATGAGTGATTAGTGTTCTTTTTCAGTCCATCTTGACATACTACATTTTCAAAGTTTTAAGGTAGCCTGATAGAAACTTATATTTTAGTACTCAATTATTTGTCGGTTTATTATTATTCGGATTATGAGGACTATTCGGGAATAATTGATAGATTGGGTAGTAGTAGGAAATTAGTCATTTCTATATAAATTATTGTAAGTTAGAATTAGGGTTAAGAAAAGGATTAATCAAAAAGCCTAATCTCTCTCTCTCACCTTCCCTCTGCCGACCCCACTTCCTCTCTCCCCCTTCCTCTGCTTCGAACAGCAACTTTCCCCCCTTCTTCTTCTCCTTCGGCTGGCGACCAGCCGCCCTTTCCCTTCCCTTTCGCTCCCCACTAATCCCAACTCAATTCCCCTTGTTCTTTCCTAAACCCCGGATCAATCCCTAGTTGATCCTAATCCCTAAAACGCAGGTAGAGCTCACCTTGAGTTCTATCATTTGGTATCAGAGCCTGGCTCTTGATTTCTGCGCACACAAGAACGACGATCGAGATGGTATCGACCAAATCCATTACTGCAGCTGAAAAGACCGCCAAGGCAGCGCAGGAGGCGGCCACCAAGGCGGCGCAGGGGGCGGCGATCGCAGCTACCGGACCCGTGTCCACCGGCGATGGCGCGCTCGAAATTCCCGGACCACGGGATGGAGAGATGGTGGATGAGACGCTGGGAGAAGAGCTCCGCGCTGAGATGACCAAAATGGCCGAGGCCATGGAGCAGGAGCGCCGGACCCGACTGAAGGGCGAGCGAGCTCGGGAGACGGAAGCGCGAGCCCGAGAGGCGGAGTCGCAGAGGATGTGGATCGCTATTGGCGAGCTGAAGGCAATGGTGGCGGCGGCCCTGGGGCGAGCAGGAGGAGGCGGCGGTGGCCCCACCGGAGGCACGGTCTCGTCGGCGGTAGCCGCGAAGGGCGGATCCGGCCAGGGAGGCACGTCCAGCGGCGAGAGGTCGGCGGCGGAGGCTGTGGCAGGCGGGGGCGGCGCGACCGCCAGAGGAGGAGTGGCGGCGCCGGGGGCGATGGCAGCCGGCCCAGGCGCGGGGTTCGAGGCGGCGGAGAAGGCGCCGGCGGTGCGGACGACGATCGAGAGCGGGCCGGGAACCGGCGGAGGCGAAGCGGGGACAGGCCCATCGCAGGTAGGGCTAGGTGTGGGCCCGGGTCTGCTACCGACGCCTACGGCCCAAGAGATTGCAGCCCGGAAAGGGAAGGCCAAGATGCCCGGTTATGACATAGACGGGCCTCCCATGAATAGTGGGCCGGAGATGATGGGCCAATACACAAAGATCCATAATGGGCTGGGGTGGATGGATTTGGAGGATGGGCCCGAGTGTGACGAACTTAGCCTAACAGACCGACAGGCCAAGTGGGATGAACCAGAGGTGGACCAGAGGGGGCCGGGTGGGCCGAGGAGGACCGCAGAACCGGCTGGGCGGCCCTCATGGGGCGGACCGAAGGGGGTCGGATCGAGGCCGGTCGAGTCAGGATTGGTCGGACCGACAGACCGAACCGAGGTGAGCCGAACCGGGATGGGTCGATCGAGGTAGGTCGAACCGGGCATCGCCCGAGTCCGACTACTCAGCAGTACAGGAGGGTGGACAGCCGAGAACCAGCCAGTTGGGAGGTTCCGTACGGGGCGCCTCACGCGCCAGGAGGGTACCCGAGCCTGTAGGGCAGCTATCCGGGTGACTATGGCCATGAGAATCTGAATCGGATGCCGGGCTCTTCTTTCGGGCAGCCTTGGAGGACTCCTGGGAATGACAGGTATGGGTCCCACTACATGAATTATGAGGGAATGGATGGAGTAGTTTTTCGAGCTAAGCCTCCGACCATTAAGTTTCCCAAATTCAATGGGCAAGAGGATGCAGGTCTTTGGTTGTATGCAGTGGAGAGGTGGTTTAGAAACCATCCGATTCCGGAGGAGAGGAAGGCCTATCTGGCGTCGTTTTATCTGGAGGGAGATGCGCTCCAGTGGTGGGAGTGGATGGAGCGGTCCTACGCCGCCGCAGCTACCTTGATCACTTGGTCTATGTTTCAGGAAGAGCTCCGTTACCAGTTCAGGAAGTCAGATGGGTGGGCCCCCGAGCAGTTGGCAAAACTGAAGCAGACCGGCACGGTGGCTGAATACCGTGCAGAGTTCTTCAAGTTGGGGAACCACTGTAAGGGAGTCTCAGAGGACACCCTGGTGGGGTTGTGCATGGCAGGTCTTAAGCCCGAGATAGCGGCGGCAGTCCGGGTGTTTGAGCCTGATTTCGTGAAGGCGGCTTTCCGTCTTGCAGGTCATAAGGAGGAATAGCTCGCTAGTTGGAGGAGCGCCATTGGCCGTTTCCCGAAGTCAAGCGGAGGGGGAGGGAGCAGCGGGAGTAGTGGAGGCGCGGGAGGGGCGCCAGGGGTAGGCTCAACCGGGGCTAACACTGGCGGTGGAGGCCCCGCTCCGGTGGCCAGGATGGGGCCGCGGGCCATACCTAAAGGGTTCGTGCGACTGTCACCGGCTGAGATTGAGCAGAAGAGGCGGGAAGGCAAGTGCTTCAAGTGTGATGGCCGATTCACCATTGGGCATCAGTGCCCCAAGGAAGATTTGATGATGCTAGTGGGACGATGGGAGGATGAAGCAGAAGACTATGCTGAGGATGCCGGAAATGATGAAGAAGAGACCTAGTGAGCTAAAGGAACAACCTTGGGGACAAGGTTGATTTTCGAAGGAAGAGGGGATGATAGAAACTTATATTTTAGTACTCAATTATTTGTCGGTTTATTATTATTCGGATTATGAGGACTATTCGGGAATAATTGATAGATTGGGTAGTAGTAGGAAATTAGTCATTTCTATATAAACTATTGTAAGTTAGAATTAGGATTAAGAAAAGGATTAATCAAAAAGCCTAATCTCTCTCTCACCTTCCCTCTGCCGACCCCACTTCCTCTCTCCCCCTTCTATGCTGCAAACAACAACTTTCCTCCCCTTCTTCTTCTCCTTTGGCTGGCGACCAGCCGCCCTTTCCCTTCCCTTTCGCTCCCCACTAATCCCAACTCAATTCCCCTTGTTCTTTCCTAAACCCCGGATCAATCCCTAGTTGATCATAATCCCTAAAATGTAGGTAGAGCTCACCTTGAATTCTATCATAGCCAAAATCAAAATTTTAGTGGGCTTAAAATACTCGAGGCATCCTTGTACAAGAGTACACAATAAAAATATGAATAAAATTCAGATGATTAGTTGGCCCAAAATGAAAATGAAATGGATTAATACACACAAAGTGACAAAATTATGAAATGAAACAGTTGGAAACCTAATCACATGCCTGTTCCATCTCGAAATCTCATCATGCCCAAATTTAATCGACTTGTGGCTTCACTCTTGCATGTCAACAGGATATCAATTTATTGTTCACCTATCTATTTCCATTGTTCCTTTTCTGAAGGGAAATATTCAATGTTCCTTTGTAATTCGATTTTGGGTTTTAGATACAAAGCAGACAGTATGGTTGGGTTTGGGTCCTCCTTGTTACCCAGGAGCCCAGCCAT